AGACTGAGCTGCAGAATTGTTCAGGTGATGGAGCACATTAAAAGAGAGCAGATGAGTGAGTGCAGATAAGTGAGTGCAGATAATTAACTACATTACGTTTTTGTCTTACACCTGAGCAGGCAGGTGGTGCGATAACAATAGGTTTTTCAGAGCCTTAAAGTGAGGCAGAGCAGAGACACGTAACAGTGGAGAAACCTCGGCGGCCTGCTGTTCTCTGAGTGATGTGGTGCAAAGCAAACAGTCTGTGAAGTGGCTGTGATGGGGAACAATAACCGTGTTGTGTTGAAATGATGAGAGTCTGATGAGTCTGTTCTCCGTAAACATGATCTCTCAGGCTGCAGGGATACAAATAATCTGAATAAGTCTCTAGTGGAGGAGACAAAGGCTCAACTTGAATGGCCCTGAGGCCACAGTACTCACAACTGTAGCGGTCACTGTGTTGTCTCCACCTGACAATAAGCATTCAGGAAGGGGCAAAAAGTCAAACCAATTTCTTTAAGGTTAAAAGTCATACCATTGTTACTTTGATTGAAAATATTTTTTAAATGAGAGAATTCAAAATGCTTTTTTACTTTTTAAAAAATTCAATATATTTAAAAAAATTAAATAAATTATAGTTGACAATGAAAATGAAACTTTTAGGTTGATATTTCAGCAACTACATTTTCCACTATTTTCTACATTTTGGACTTGCTGTCATTTGCATCACCAAGTCAACAGTCAACATAAATGTTATATTGGGCAAGTTCAAATCCCGGTTAGGGCGGTTGGTACCTTCCAGTGGACTCACCACCCACAGGAAGGTTTAGGTACGGTGCAATGTGATTTGGGTGGCGACTGCTGCCCCCGCGACCCGGAAACGGATAAGCGGCTGAAAATGGATGGATGGATGGATAATGTTGTAGGATGAACATTTTATTAAATATAAGAAGATTGCCTTTAAAGACTTTTGTTTAGAACTACTTTGTCTGTCTTTTAACATTAAAAGCAACATTAAAATATAATTAAATATTTAAATATTTAATAATATGTTTTGTTTATTTCTGTTGACAGAAACATGCAGGCCTCGGTACACAGGCTGGTTCTGTATCCTCTGGCCGCAGTTCGGGCTGGACCAATCAGGACGTCTCTCCTGAGTCCAGTTCTTCGTCTGTGTTCGCCCAGCAGCCGCAGCCTCTTCAGTGACACAGGTGTGTGGGAGAAGGACTACCGGGTCGAGACGCGGCGCCAGGTGGAGGAATGGTGGCATCCACGCATCAAGACACAGTGGCAGAAACATGCAGAAGAAAACGTAAGAAGGCCTTTGTCACTTTTTTGACTTGATAATTAGCTTGATGACATCATCATTATTGACTGAAACAAATGACACTGGTTGTAAAGTTGAGCTGAAAAAGTAGACTGGAAGTGTTGTGAAACTGACTTTAACATCGTGGAGAAAGCTCCAGTTTTATACTAGTTGTTCCCAAAGGTGGGGGTGGGTCCCTCCAAAGGGGATGAAGCAATTCCAGGGGGGCCCAACTAGGGAAATGATTTGCTTTATTTGTGCCACATTGGGGAACCTGCATGAACGTATTGTAATTTGATTTCAGTTGTTCAATGAAAACAGCAGCTTGTGCTGGAGCTAAGCTAAGGTTATAAATGTGTTGTAAATCTCAGACCCTGCCGCTGATCTCAGAGCAGCAGATCAGGCTCATTACGAAGCCCTTACGGTGTGACCTGTGGGGCCGTGTTTGACAGGCTGTCAGTGAAAAGTGCATTAATGATAGACCTGCGTCTAATTAATTTACTGAAAAATTCATGACTTTCCTGTAATTACGTTTATCTGGGTGTGACCAGCGCTCACTGCGGCGCTGCTGTGGAAACAGCGCTGCGACTGTAAACCTTTCATAATGAGCTCTGCCACTGTTCAGCCCGTGACACTATAATCAGACACTGATAGCAGTAATAATAGCAGGAGTCAGTTGGAGTGCTCGCTCTCCCTCCGTATGCAAGAAGTTATTAATTCTGTTTTGATCTCATCAGGTTAGTCTTTAATGAAAGCCTCAAAAGAGAAGTGAAGAAAGAAAACACCTTTTCTTTCTTTTTCTGAGCTAATCTCCCACCTCTCTCCAGCATCTTCTCACGCTTTTTTCTTTTGTTTTTCTTTCTCAGGCTACCAAAAAGAAGTTTTATGTCCTGTCCATGTTTCCATACCCATCCGGACGTCTGCACATGGGCCACGTGAGAGTGTACACCATCAGTGACACCATCGGTCATTTCCAGAGAATGAGAGGCCATCAGGTATGTCTGCTTTTATAGAACAGGCTTGTCTAGGACTGAACGACTCACAATGTCACAAAAAACTGAAATCTTTAGTTTTATTATTCACTGCAACTTGCATTTACCAGGAATCAGGACGATGAAAGTAGATGTTTAATCTTTTCACAAAGACAAACACAAAGAATTGAGCAATTGATGTCATCCGTGGTCTCAAACGCCTGACGTAAATCAGTCTGTCATCAAAATCTACAATCTATTTGGCAGAATCTAAAAAACATCATTTCTGCAGTTATTACTTCAGTCACTGTGAGTGTTTGTTTGTTTGACATGAGCTGACTAACACCCGGTCAACTGTGGGTTCATCTGGAGCAACAGAGCATTAGCTGTAAACCACTGATCTCCTCTGAAACAATGAGTCACTCATTCACTTTCTCCAGACCTGGTTCATCATATTACACAGCACTGACGCCATGACGTGCTGTCTGTCGGTCTGTGTTATAACTGTTACTCTTCTTTCTTCTCCTCCTCCTCATCCTTATCCTCTCTCTTCTTCTTCTTCTTCTTAATTTCTTTATCTCCATCTGATTCTCGTACAAATCTCTAATTTGTTCATTTTTTTTTTGGCCTTTTTTTTATACCTTTTTATGTATATATTTATTTCAGCATCATCAGATCATTCTTCTTTTGATCCTTCTTTTTCTTCCTCATCATCTTCATTGTATTCTTATTCAACTCTACCTGTTTTTCTTTCATTTTCTCCCTTATCATCTTAATCATTTTTCTTTTCATCATCTCCTCTTCTTCCTCATCCTTCCTTTTTCTTCTTCTTTTTCATCTTGTCACTAGACTCAGTTCCAGGACATGTTTTCCTTCTTTCTTTTCATGTCTTGAATTTTTTTTTTTTTTAATTTAAGGTCAGTTGTCATGAAACCCTGTCTATAAAGGGAAACAGTTTTCAGCTGCTGAGCTGGTGGGAGAAGATAATTGCTACACCTGCTGTAGGTTTCTCCTTTCATGGTTGAAATTAGGATTAAGTAAACTAAAGCTAGAATCCATACAATTAATTGCAGGCACTCTAGTCAGTTATTGACTCAACTCTGTTCCAGATCAAAGTTTGAGTAGATGTCGCTAATTAAAAACACTCAAACACAGCGGTGGTTTCTTATTTAAAGTCACTTTGTCTTCATCCTTAAAAGATTGGTGTTTGAACACATCACACAACCCTAACCCTCACCTTTCCTTGTATTTATCTTCAGCTCACATGTGTGGCTGACTTCTCCAATTTGTAAAAAAAATAGGCTGACTTCTTCAATTTGTAAAAAAAAAAATCCTGGTGGTCTTGTACATGTATCGATGCTTATCGTCAAATTTAAATAAGAATCCTTCAGAAAACGAGACCTCTCCTCTCTGCTTCGGTCTGGTTTCTCCCTGAACACAAACACATGGTTTCACATGACTGGTCACTACTTCCTGCCAGGGCGCTCTTCTCTCTCAGCATCTGTCGGACTATAATTGTATTCTGTTGTGAGCTCAGCTGACTTCACCCAGGAGTTAATTAACAAAGGTACAGTCTGTTGATGGACACAACTCAAAACTTATTCATCTGTTGTTCATCTGAGGGAGTTAACAATACGGATGTTTCAAGACTTTGTTTAAATTTTTACGTTTAGCAGACACTTTTATCCAAAGCGCCTTACAGGGGAGGATTTACATTGTCAAGCTTGTGGTTCCTCTGGGAATCAAACCCAGGACTCTCTGCTTCCAAGGCAGGCTTGTTAACTGCTACACTATGGAACTATAATAACCCTGGTCTAATGAATATACTTAGATGTACTGTATGGTCGTTCTTAGCATGTCATCATAGAATGTTAGCACCATATGGATGGAGAATTCTCAGTTTCTCACTGTGGTTTCATCAATATCTGGAGGTGTTTCTTAAACTAATTTCCCCGGAAACTACTGCATTCTGTGTTTATTTGACAGCTTGATCATCCAATAGGATAGTCCTGTGAATGTGTTATTTTTTCCCCCTTGAGTTTAAAATGCCGATTTATGAAGCAGGGTTCATGTCCTGAAAAAGACAGAGTAATAAGATCAGGTATATGTGCAGCATATACTGTAAATCTGATTAAAATAACCAACATTACATATGATGATAAACAAACTGATTTATGTCCTAAACTATCGGAGCACTAATAGGTTTTTTAGGGCTATTAATATTAATACAAAAACTATGAAATGTAGCCGAACATTTTGTCAGTAAGATTTTTTTTTTGTTCTTGTGAAGATGAGAAGATTGTGAAGTAGTTTTGTTCTTGTGATTCTCATTTAAGCTGTTCCTCTGGTTTTCTTGGCCGTCACATTATCCTCCACTGTGATTATGATCAGTCATATCAGAGAACTTGACAGAAAGCTGTAGCTGCGTTTTCAAGGGATGTCACAGATGGAGTGGAGCTCCTCACTGCAACTGTGTAGGTGGACACTTGAATGTGGCTGAGAAGCTGCACTTTCCCAGAACCAGACTTTAAGCACCTTTCCGTCATCAGCACGAGGAGCCTGGAGTTATAGATGGACGCAGTCTGTTCCTGTTGTTCTGCTGATTTGCTTCACATTACAGTTGAAGGATTGTCATGAAATCAGCCGCTCCTTGTCCGTGTCTGATTTTCCATGCCTCCTCTTACCACTAGTGAAATCTAGTCTCCATTATTTCACGACGACCAACAGTTGGGCCGTTGTTTCCGACTACTGTAAGAACATTATACGAGACAAATGGAGCCGAGGCCATTAGCAGTGAAGAGATAATGTCTGTGTCGTTAAACTCTATCACGTCTGCTTCCTGTCACAGCATCTCTGTGATACACTTACAGCGTCATAGCTTTATTGACTTTGAATCAACAAAGTTCACAAGTGTTAATGAGAGACATCTTTCTGTGTGTGTCCACCATCCTGCTGAGGAGCCACAGTGATCCCAAAGACCCAGTGGTTACCAGGGTTACACTTCTGTTTGAAGCATCAGGCTTGGTGGAGGACGGAGAATAGTCTGATTCTCTCCTCCTCTGTGTCTTCACTTCCTGTCTTTCACCTTTATTCTACTTTTCTCATCACTCTTGCCCTCACTCTTCTTAGCTTCATGTTCCATATTCATTTCCTCTGAGCTGAAATCAACCTCCCTCCGTTCCCTGCTTCCTCTCCACCTTCTTTGCTTCCTTCCTTTGTTCTTTCCTCTCCACCTTCCTTCCTTCTCCCTTTCCTCCTTCCTTTTTTCTTTCCTTCCTATCTTTCATCCTATCTTTCTTCCTTTTTTCTCCCTTCCACCTCCCATGTTTCTTTTGTTCCCTTCCTTTCTATTTTCCTTCCATGCTTGTACCCTCTTCTCCTCTCCTTATTTTCTGCTTCCTCTCCAAAAATCAAATGAAAAACCAATTTGTACATTTACTGATTGTTAGGACTGTGGAGATTTAAAAGTACAAAATGAAGCAGCAGCAAAATAATTCTAACATGATAATATCTGAGGAAAACACCAAAGTGTCAATAACAGACTGTCAAACCATTTCATTTATTTTACAGCTATAGTGACGCGGCGACCTTTGTTGGAGCTGAATTGCTAATTTCATCACATTAGTTCTAAAATGAATTTCCCATTGAGATTCTCGTCTGTACATTTTGACTTGAAGCCCCAGCTGCTCAGTATACAGACACACATGAAGAACACTCTTGTGGAATTCAATTTTCAAATAAAAAAGGCTTTATGTGAATCACTTCAGTAACATTTTTATTTACTGCAGCATACATATTTATCATCCAACATTTTAACACTTAAATTGCAGGTGTTAAATCCAATGGGTTGGGACGCTTTTGGGCTTCCAGCTGAGAATGCGGCCATCGAGAGAGGTCTCGATCCAGAAGAGTGGACTAAGAGGTAAATTAAATGTCCATCGTGTTGCAGTTTCCTTCATCACCACTAGTCTTCTTACCTTAGATTTGCTTTTGTGTCTCTGTCCAGTAACATCCGGTCCATGCGGGAGCAGCTGGACAGCCTTGGCCTCTGCTTTAACTGGGACCGAGTGAGTACATAAAAGAAGATCACATCAAACAGACCTGAGCGTCTTTCATGTCTGAACAACATGTCGTGACATGTCGCCATTTCACTTTTTGCATTTGTGGGACAGGAAGTGACTACGTGTCTTCCAGACTACTACAGGTGGACGCAGTATCTTTTCATCAAGCTCTTTGAAGCTGGACTGGCGTATCAGAAAGAGGTAAACGTGGTGTTTGCACAGGTGACATTATTATTATGTTTTGAGGAAGAAAATGCAAAGGAAGGAGAAAGGTGTTTGAAGCAGACGACTTTCGAAAAAGAAGAAAATAAATCTCAGGAAACAAACGGAGCTAGATGGAAACTCGTCTGATTGCAATAAAACTAAAGTTTATGTGTGTGTGTTGGTGTGTGTGTGTGTGTTTCAGGCTGTGGTAAACTGGGACCCTGTTGATCAGACGGTACTCGCTGATGAGCAGGTGGATGAAAACGGTCGCTCCTGGAGGTCTGGAGCAGTGGTGGAGCAGAAGATGCTCAGACAATGGTTCATCAAGACCACAAACTACGCAAAGGTATTTATTTGTGTGTGCGTGTGTGTGTGTGTGTGTAGCTGTACTTGTGGGGTCTCTACTGAGTAAGGGTGCAGTAGAGGTTCAAAAGTTTGATGTTTAGATTAGAGTTTTAGATTAGGTCCAATGTTTGGTTTTTTAGTTTGGTATTCTAGCAAGCAATGTTTTTTTTTATCAATTGTTGAAAATAACATTCTTTTTTTTCTCACACCTGGTGTTTCCACATAAAAACCAAAGACCTTTTTAAGACTATTTTAAAACCACTCACAATGAAATGAAGGATGTACCAGTTAAAGAAAATACCTCAGATTTATTTTTGTATCCTAACAAACCCTAAAAAATCTTTTTCTTGGACAGGAGACGGTATTGATAAATAACTATTTCTAAAGTTCATAAATCACTTTTATTAACTTTTGTGGTTCTTCAGTCTGAATCACTGGATTGTTTTCCTATGAGCCATTTGTAATCGTGTGATATTTTCAGTCCTGGGTGGCAGTACAAATCCACATTATGAGAATTCCAGCTGCAATTTGGGATATTTTAGGGCCCAGTTCCCTGGTAATTCGTCACCCTGGTGGAGTCTGAATGGCTGACCAGCAGCTCCATGTTGGCCAGGGAGAGCGCCGCTCTGATAACAATCATGGTCGCTGCCCTGCTTCTCTGCCTCCACAATCAGACCCCTGGAGATCGTCATTTGTAGCCTTGCAGCCCTCGATCACGGCACAAAAGCCCAATGCAGTCTGGGTCATACCGCTAAGCAGCCCACATCACTGGCTGATGAAATACCTCCGACTATTAAGGGCAGCAGCGTACGGGCCCGCTGAAAAATGGCCCTCTGTGGGGGTTTATGAATAATTCACAGAAAGATATTTCATACATTAAACATGGAGCACATGTATGTGCAGTTTTATATGTTGGAGAAAATTACATGCTACGTGTTTGTTATATGTAGATTTGTCATATATGTTCCTGTTAGTTGGGCAGACTGGGTGTGTGTGAAAACATCCTTTATTTGATTGTGCTTTTTCTGGATGTTTATCACAAAGGAGTAAAAGTGACAAAAATAAATCAATAATTAAATAATAACAATTCATTAAAATGCCATGCAGTACTTCATGACATCGGCATGTCATGACATTTATCTGGGGCTAACGCTGATCTCGTCTGATCTATAGTCCTGAAGTAGCGTGGCTGGCGAATAAACAATTCACAACAAACTCTAAGTGATCACTGATTATATGCATATACCCACATACTGACATATTGACTGACATATTTTATCAATTTTTTTTATTTTATAAATTTCTTTTTGTTAAATATTCTTCTATATCTATTCTCTATCTCTTATTCACAGTAAATTGGGGAAAATCACAGGGAGTCAGTGCAACCCACACAGAGTGCCATATGTAAAGTATGATTTAAAAAAAAAGCATATAAATAAATACATATTTTTAAAAAGTGCAGTAAAAACATAAAGGACCTAAAAGAAAAACTTTCAAATCCAATATTGTAAATACAGAGATATAATATTAAATCTACAAAAACCCTGTCATCCACAAGAACAAAACTGGACAGAGGGCATTTATCATAATGATTAAAACAAAAAAGACAGTCCACCACACAGTTTTAGCCTCGGCGCTGAAGTCGTCCAAGCTTGTCCATGTCAGAGGTGTGAGTGGAGGTGGGATCTGCGCCACTGTGTTCCTGCGATTCATATTTTCTCTTGACGAGCAGAGAAGTGGGAAGAAAGGAAGAGGAAGGTGTAAAAAAAAAAAAAAAAGTGAGAAAGACAGAGGGAGTGAAAGAAGGACCTTGTCTAAGTGCATTGTGCCAAATTAAAAAGTGCTGTAATTGGACTGTGAGTTCCTGCCAGTGTGTACGTGCTGGAGTCTGTCAGGCGACATTAACTTCAGACTACATTTGCCTGGCACTCATCAGCTCAGCTGTCATGTTGTTGCACTGGGGCAGTTTCCTTATGAATAATAACTGTTGTGTTTCCTCCAGGACACAAACAACTGCATATTATTACAAAGATTGATGCTGAGACCCGAGTGCAGGATGTTTGAACCATATGGCAGCTCCAGACGTTTCAATTTCCTGTACACTCACACATGTTGCATTCACTGACATGTAGATCACTCACAGATCAAAAATGATCTCTTTTTTAGTACATTTATAATAAATAGAGTGTTCTTTCTGAGCTTTTATCATTGGTGTACTTCACATCTTTCTCACCCACAAAACCTTGGATTTTTTGCTTTATGCTGTTTTGTTGCCATAGCGACCATGGTCTCTGCTGTATGTCCTTTATTTACTAATGTGTCAAATGCCCTCCTCCTCCCCCCAGGTAAACTAAAGAAACATTTTTTCCTTGTTTGCTTGATTTTAAATTATCTAAAGCTTTCTCTATACTCTTCTGAATTAATTTTCCACAAACGATGTTAATTCCGTGACTTATTCAAGCTGATGTACTCAACACCCACAGCGATTTACATCTTCTTCATATCCAACCTTGAACCAACCAGATGACCCACTCCACAGTGATGTCATAGTTATGGTCTGTTCACCAGATGCTAGTCCACATTGTTTCTCATCTGACCCCTAAGATGACCACATTGAAGTAACTAGCGTAGGCGCTAATGTGGTAAGGAGCAGTCTTAGTATTAGTAATACATTTTTTTAATGAAAAAAAAGCACATTTTTACCTTCATTTTTCTCCAGCTGAGACATTTCTGGTCTCATTGATTAACAAAACTTCCTGTAATCACTCAGAGAACCTGCTGCCGTGTGTTTGTCTTTTGTGAGAATGACATTTTGTGTGAGTACTTTACAAGGGAACGGCTTTTTGTATGTGATCAGTCAAAGTAGTGTGAGAGAAGGTCAAGATTTTTGTGTGCGTCATGTGACCAGGTCAGTGTTACTGCGTTTTCAAAATGAATTGGCTGAGGTTGGAGAGAGCTCACACTGTAGTTGTGTTGGTGTCGACTACAGTGCATTATCACAGGCAGCCACACACTTCTGAGTAAATGGTGTCTTTTTCACAAAAATATCTGCTTGCCTAAAGTGGAAAGTTAACCAAATTTCATTTTTTTTACCTCCTGTGTTTGACCTCTAGCCTCTCCTTGATGCCCTGGCAGACCTTCCAGAGTGGTACGGTGTCAAAGCCATGCAGGCAAACTGGATTGGACAGTGCACTGGATGTTACTTTGATTTTAAACTCATGGTAAATCTCATTCTATACGACTTTTTCAGATTGATTTAGATCAGACGCTGAATGAGATAGAAAATGAATTTGAAATATATCAGATTAAAAATGTTACTCTGTTTAATGAATGGGCAGAATGGTGCACACTGTATATCCAAAAAATCCACCACCCATCCACTCATCAGAGCACATAAAAATTGTAAAATACAACCTCAACACCGTACAAGTACATATATATATATATATATATATACACAGTATATACTGTATATAGAGACCTAAGATTCTTGTCTTTTATCTCTCAGGTGAATGGGGAGGAGACGGGGGAGACCCTTTCAGCCTACTGCTCCTCCCCAGAGACCGTGTTCGGAGCGGCCTATCTGGCCATCTTACCTTCACACAGACTGCTGCGTGGTAGCAGCTCAGTGCGCCTAGTCCTGGAAAAAGCCTTTCAAGCAGGCAGAGGTGAGTGTTTCCTCTTTCACACTGACCGCAGCATTCGTCAACATGTGTGTGTGACTTTCCTGAAAAGACAGAGAAAACAAAACACAAATGCGTTCAGATTTGAACCAATCAGCTGAAGGAGCTGTTACTTTTCTCAAGGCTGAAGTAGCTCCACATGACTCCATGTCGGAGCCTGGAAAGGTTCCCACTAAAAGGTTATGTTTCCTGTCATTATATGTGTTTCTTTCTGAACTGTGCCTGATTAATATAAGGGGTGCAATTAAGAGAGTCAAACCAAATAGAAAGAAGTTGAGAAATCTACTCAGACCAGAAATATATCCTGTGGAATCACACATATATTTACAGTTGTACAGTCATGGTTTGGTCCTGTTCTGTGTCAGTGGTAATTGGGGTTCTCCTGGGATTTTTTCCTCTGTCAGTTGTTAATGATTGCTGATAATGAGCCGCTTGGGGAAGCAGAGCTGCCTTGCTCATGTCCCCTCTCCCTCTGCTCTCCAGACTCCCTGACAGAGGTCACAGCACGTAACCTGTTTACTGGACACGAGGTTCCTCTGGTCATCTCACACAAAGAGGCGTTCGATGACTACCTGGACACAGTGATTGGTATGTAATTACACTGCAGTGGTGAACCTGTGTTTACTCATTTACTCCCAGTTCCCTGGACTGATATTAGGAATAATCGATGAGCACGGATTCATGGATCAGACAGGTCTCACTGTAGTAAAAAAATAATAAAGATTTCAATGATGTAAAAGTGTGTTTTTCTCTCAGTGTGTGGGGTTTGGTCTGTGGTGACTGTTTACTGTTAGTTTCATCACAGCAGACCTCACATAACCTCAGGGTCTTCCTGTCTCCTGAGATCCATTATGTGTGTGTGTGTGTGTGTTTCTGAGCCCATGTTTGTTTTCTCTTACTGTCTCTGACAGGTATTCCAGACAGCAGTGAGGAGGACCTCTCTGTGGCTAAAGCTCTGAATCTTAACTGGACCACGGTGCTGGGAAGTGACCGGGATGGGACACAAACCCTGATTAACTCTAATGAGGTCAGCATGTTGTTGGGAAAGACCCAAGCCATTAAAATCATAGCAGAAGTCCTGACATAAAGTGATTTCTATCTTCATTGTTGAGAGGATGAATCTGCTCTACTGCAGGAAGGAACTCAGGAACTCCCTTCCTAAGTTATCTGTATAAAATGATCCGTTCCATGGAACGAACAGTACTGGAATTATCAGTTAGAGAGAGTTATATAATTATCAAACCTTATTTGATGTAAAGTTGATGATGACATATGTATATATATACATAAATGTATATATATACGTATATATATATATAATTTCATATTTTTCTTTTTCCATTTAGGCCTTAATTTATCAGGAAAAGGTTAAGGTTTCCTACTGGAATTCTGAACTTTGTTTGACTCAGGGAATTCAGGGATCAAATAAAAGTGGTGACTTTGTAAATAACTAAGCACTGCCTCCATCATATTGTTTTCTAATGTCATATTTTCTCCTCGGTGACTGTTTCGTGCTCTGTGTAGTTCTCAGGTCTCAGCAGAGAGAAAGCATTTCACCTAATTACCCAGAAGGCCCAGGAGCAGAAGGTTGGCGGACACCTCACCAGCTCCAAGCTCAGGGACTGGTTGATATCCAGACAGCGGTACTGGGGCACACCCATCCCCATAGTGCATTGTGGGTCTTGCGGTCCTGTGTCCGTCCCAGAGGAAGATTTACCAGTGACTCTACCGAAGGTGCCGTCTCTGACGGGAAGGGGAGCGTCACCACTGGAGGCCGCTCATGACTGGGTCAGCTGTAGATGTCCGAGGTGAGAGAACTCAAAACCTTTTCAGTTGTTGGTTCAAATCTATGCTGTACAATATGAAGTGCAAATTATTACCTATAATATCACTATTATAAATAGTTTTTTTACAGTATGTTTGATAATTGTTTCAGCAGATAAGCATTTCTGGTGCGTCTACATGATATTGTATATTTTCCAACAGAAGCCTCTCATGTCTGCTCTGTCAGTGCAGAGTCACAGCAGAAGTGACTAATAACCAGTCTGTGCATTTCTCTCTTTAATCACAACTGTCCATCATTTCTCACTCATGTTGCTGGTGCAGACTTCCTTCTTTTTATTCAAATGAAGGCTGCTCCTCCAAGAGTGAACGCCGAGCGAAGACAGTGATGATTAAAATTGATACCAGTAACGATTCCAGTCTTAATACTAAACACAGTGCAGTGGTAATGGCACCAGGAAAATTCATTCAACTTTTTTTTTCTAAGAAAGTGTGTAATGCTGGTCTAGCTATGCTTGCGGGGACACATTTTAGGAAACATGTCATGGCCCCAGAGAGTGAGTTCTTTGTTTTTTTGAGCTTCAAGTTTTAGTTTTGGATTAAACTTGAACAGGGTTAGGGATATGATTACTCATATATTTGTAATGGTTATGCATTATGTCTATGTGAAGTGCTCATCCATATCCATATAAATATGTGTGTGCGTGTGTGTGAGAGAAGCAGCAAGGTGCTTCCCAGCCTCATTAACCACGAATAAAAATACAGCACTGTTTCTTCCTTTAAGTTGGAGATCACGTTTTAAAGTCATCTCTAAACTGTAAGTTAATAATACACAGAGGAGACATTAACTTGTGAAACTGTATATACACCCATTGTGATAAACAACAATATCAGTAAAACGCATTAGCTCCTCTTCTAACCAATCACGTCAATACCCTTTCTTTAACTTCACGGGACATTAGATGTCACTTTAAATCTTCCAAAGTGTTTCTAAATTTCCAAGAAAATAACTCTGATGTTAATGCCCAAAAAATAGTTTGTCATGAGGTTCATTGTATATTTGCTGATGAAAGCTGATATGAAAACTCTAATATTGATTGACAATAGATGGGGCTCAGTGACTGGGCAGAAGATTTCTTTTCTCTTCAGGCAGTGACAACTTTTTTAACGACAGACTTATGATTGGTGCCAAATCAGTGGATCAGCATTTCAGCAACAACAACCATGTAAAAGTGTAATTTGCAAATCATTTTCTTTCCAATGTAAAAACTACAACTTATTTCCAGGGCGATGAAGGTGTCACTGGCATTTCTTTAAGTGGGTTGGTCATGACAAAGTGATGTTTTTTGTCAAATACAATCAACACATTTAATTAATTGAAAAATAAATTCTCATACTAACGAATCTGGTGGCATCACTTTAATTATTGGATTTTTAACACTATGTAAATCAAGTCGCTGGCTGGAGAAGCCCTTGAGCCAGGCACTGAGTCACTGCCACTTCCATATGTGCTTCAATCTGGGCAGAGCAGAGGACCCTCTCAGCTGGGTTTCGTTGAGAGAAGGTTGAAGTAAAAGTGGAGGAACAGGACTCTGTAGATGATGAGTCCGTGTTTTGTGTGATGGCTGAATTACGTGAAAAACCTTCTTTGCTGTGTTACTTCCTGTGGTTCCAGCTCAGGCATGAAAGCAGCAGCTGTTAGCCAGGATGTGAGAAAACAGAGCAGTGAGTGTGGACCTGTGAATTTTGTGATGAATACTGTTGTCCTGACGGGGTTATGTAAGGTCTGTGATGAAAGTTGCATAATCCAGCTTTGGTTCGAGCATTGCATTTGTGCCTGTGCGCACACACGTTTATCCTTTCTGTGCAGGCGTAATTACATGTGCTTTCCACCAGAGTCGTGTCAGTGAAAACGTGCAGCATCGATTGTCAACCAACATTTCTTGCTGACAAGGGAGTTTCACTGTGATTTAGACTAATCACTCTCGTGATACTGCAATAATTAACATGATACTCCCCTCACTGTTTTATGGTACGAATAAACCAGTCAGATGGGATTTTGGCCTAACCCTTTCCCATAAAGCTAGCGTAATTCTACCCATCAGCCGCGATTGATGGACATAATCAAAAAGATGCAGTTATTCTCCTTCTTCCATCTCCCATCTGAAGAAATTAGTTTTCTTCCAGCGACCATCTTCAATTAAACAGTGAGTGGCACACGGACGTGTGAAGTGATGAGACTTGTGTGACAGAAATGGACTTTTTATCTGTCCTTGTAGGAAATCATTCCCCGTGCACTCGCCCCCTCTGTGACCCTGCACATCTCGCTAAATTGGCCTGCAAACTGAACCCGGACATGTCTTAAGCTGGCCGGGAATTTGTGCAAGCAAGTGTGTGTGATTACATAAATTTGCAGGTAAAGCGAGAGGCCACCTTGTTAATGGAATATAGACACACACACGGATGTCTAGCTGACACACACACATACACACACACACAGCAGATGGGGTAGTTGTGTGAAGTGGACAATCATTTCCTCTGCCTTATCTGTTCAAGGACCTTTGCGCTTTCAAACCAAGCACCGTCCCTTTAATTGTCCACACACTGCTTTGTTTTTAGTCTCAGGTAAAATGATTGAAAAGACACCAGGTCGGTCCAGCTGTTTGGTAAGTGTTACCAATCAACACGGTGTGCAAAAAAACAGGGAAATATGAGGAATTAACCAGTAAAGTGCTCCAGTACGTTCCTCCTCAGAGCTTCCATTTGATCACCAGCTCATTGTTCTCAAATAGAGATTTTTTACGAGCTCTAATATCTTTTTTGAACAGATTAATTTTATTGGAAGGAAAAAGAGAGTAAATCTAATTGAATTTTATCGGAAGGAAAAAGAGAGTAAATCTAATTGGGTGAGAATCGGGTTTTCCAAAATACAATATTTTTTGAGGAGAAATATAGTAAGTCATATTCTTTTCTCTTTTTTTTCTGGCTCAATGTAGAGTCTCCCACGATCCGATTATGTGTAATCTGTACTGAACGCAATCTCTGCTGTAATAGAATTCATAATAGTTCAAGCTTTTGTAAAAAAAACAAACTATCTTAATTTTCTGTCAGTTTTTGATGACATTAAACAAACTATCATAATTTTCTGTCAGTTTTTGATGACATTTTAATTTTTTTGTGGTGTGTTGGAGGTGGCTCGATTTTATTGTTGGCTTTTCATTATTTGAAAATAACACCTGACTTCCAAATATTAACCTTGCTACGCCTTAGACCTGTTGCTAGGCAACCTTCAGCTCCTACCTCATCATCACAGCCTTATTATAGACCGGTATATGAGGTGGTGGACGGCGATATCGCAATATACGTACATCTGTGTGTATAGTCATATGTATGTGACGCTAATGTTTGTGTGAGTCAAAAAAAAAAAAGACAAAAACAAAGACTTCCCATAAGGTCCACAGTCACAGCCGCCGCTCTGCTGCTCACACTCCAGTACAGCTCAGCGCTGCCTCTCTGTTTATCTGTCTGTGACACAGAATTCAACTCTGTTGAGACTCATTATTAAAGTAAGTAATGAAACACTTTTGTCGCTCCAGTAAGTGCTTCGAATCAGAAACCAACAAACAACTTTCCAAAGACTTTTTTTGCTGCGACTCCACCGACATCAATGCCTCTTCTGTGAAAGTGACGGGGACAGATTCGCCTCACGTACCAGAGTGCTGTTTGGCTTGGACAGAAAGGAGAGAGCGAAGTGGTATTTCCAACACAAACACACGATCATGTGTTGGATCTGCCAGTTCATTCCCTGTTAGCACAGACTGTTAGTCAGGGCGCAGATATAGAACTCTGATGCCAGTCAGGCTGCAGCTCAGCCTCTCTGCAGGGACATGACCTACACAGCCAGATGGAGCCAGCTTTTCTCAAACGCACACACATACAGATAAAACCCATAATGTGCCGTTTCTCTGAGCACACAAACAAGAGGTATTTGTCTGTTCACTTTCTAAATAGTCTGCATGATATTGATTTTTTTCGTCTACTGTACCGACCCTCTCTCTCTCTGTATCTCACACCGTCTCTTGCCAGATGTAAAGGCCCGGCGAGGAGGGAGACCGACACCATGGACACCTTTGTGGACTCAGCCTGGTATTACCTCAGATACACAGACCCTCAGAACCCTCATAGGTATAAACAACTTCTTTCTCCTCAAGGCTTCAATTATTTTTATTTTTTTCTCTGACTCAGTGAAGCGACAAAATGCTCTTTTATTTACTTGTTTCTTCACATCTTTTTCCCTCACACTGACAGATTTCAGCTTGTTTGAGTTTACAGTGTATATGAATGGAATGATATAGAAAAGGAAAGTAGGGCTTGAACGTCTGAGTTTTACTTCTCAAAAGTAGAAACTAATGATTACCAGACGAAACATTAGGCTAATTACATAGCCTGATTATTTCACTAATCAGAGCTAAGATAATCAATGAGTCACATGAGCAGTTATCAAAAATATCATTGCTCAGTGGAAGTTTTTTACCCTTAGCTTTAGGCAACTATATTATGCATGGCACACATTTCCAAAAAGCCAAGGCCTGGAGGCCTGACATTTGCCTCAGCTGCTGTTCTCACTTACAGCAGGAAAGGGCAACACTAGTCCTGAATTTTTATTTTGCATCACAGCAGCATCATATTCCAGTCTTTGGTCTGGTATCGAACCCTATTATTATTATTAGATGAGAAGGTACAGGCTTGCTTATTTGCATCCCACCCAGGACCCTGGTTTGGTGTATATACATTTATTAGGGATGTCCGATAATATTTGCCGACCAATATTATCGGCCTGACATTAGCATATTATGTAATATCTTTAAGAATCGTTATTGGGTTTTCCTCCCATAAGGAAAACCCAGATAATGCAGTGCCTGTTTTTCACCAAATGATGTGTGCCCTAAAAACTGTTATTTGGGGGATAAACTGCTGTACATTACAGTGAGTCACTAGATGGCAGCATTGCAGCTCATTTAATTAATCTTATACTCAAACAGTGGTTTGTACAGATAAATAAATAAACATTTTCAGGCCTATATCAGTATCAGTTGATATTGGAATAGGAAATTAAGCGTGTGGACAATGTAGCATATCAGATGTCGACAAAAAGTTAATATCGGACTAGTATTTATATATGTAATTGTTTTGGGGGGGCGTCTTTAGGCAGTCTTTATACAACAACATATCAATTTGGGATGAAAATACTTCATCCATCCATCCATTTTCATCCGCTTATCCGTTACCGGGTCGCGGGGGCAGCAGTCGCCACCCAAATCACATTGCACCATACCAACCCCCCAAGCCTTCCTGCGGGTGGTGAGTCCACTGGAAATGAAAATACTTATTTAGTAGAAAGATGAAGGTCCACTTGTGCCTTTTCTTGCATCTGGGTTTACCAAACCAACCCCTGATGATAAAAGATAGTTAGAATGAAGAGATAAGGTTCGCTATGGTCAGCTCTTGAATGCTTTTACAGATTCTGTGATAGAGTGGCTGTTAGTCATTGAAAAAAAACACACACTAATCTTTTCCACCAAGAAGAAAAGCAGCAGGTATCTTGGCCTAATCTAGGTCACAGAAATGTTTTATCATTTTGCGTTTTCAATGATTTCCCATGAATATTAATGAAGTGTAAAGGTTGTCTGTTCAGTGTTTTGGCAGGGTAGAATGTGAATGTATGTGAAGTGTCATTGACACGTGCACACACGTGCTCACACACGACTGAAGGTTTCATTCCCTGCCAACGGAGATTATAAAGCCATGGTTTTCACCTGCTGGGTCAGTGGCGACACCCAGAGCTTAACAAAATAGATTAATTTCCCAGTGCCCTGACCTGGCTGTAAAGCTGCTTTAAAAGCAGGAGGGAGCCGCTCTCTCCGTCACTTTTCCTAGCGGCACAAATGATATGGCACAACAGAAAAAGCTATCAGACCATTTATGCATTTGGCTTGACCTCCAGAGACCTGGGACAGATGAAAACATCAAGCAACATATGTTAAAAAAAAGTAGCTGGAAAGTGGGGAAAGGAACTGGAACACGTGCGCGCGTTCTTGCGCGTGTGTGAACATGATGCCAGCGAGTCGGCAAAAATTATTTTCAGCCTTCGAACTTCATAAATCTTTCTTGCCGGTTCAATTATCTTGGTGACACCATCAGGCAGAGAGAGAGAGCGCGAGGCAGAGAAGTGTGGAGGAGAGTAATGACTGGTATGAAAGGTGACATACTGAGATAACAGTGAGGCCCAAAGAGCGTCATTACTGCGGGAGGAAACCCTGCGGACTAACCTCACTGCTCACTGTTCACATTTTTACAGAACTGTAAAAAATGACAGAATGATTGAAGGGGAATTTTTATTTTATCTACTAAAATGTGAACATAACATACTCTGTACCACTTTCTTTTTACATTCCAAGTGAGCGCTGAGAATCTTTTCTGTCAGTGGGTGTCAGTGCCAGTCTGCCCCCTAGAGGACATTTACGTGAACATCCAAGGAAGCTGCTACGTGTTTTTTTGAAATAAAACCTTAAAATATTAGCAGTTATTTCCTCTTTAAATTGTACCGTTTTTTCATGAATCTCAATGTTTTTCTTCCTCAGACCTTTTGACCGTCATCTAGCAGATGACTGGATGCCTGTGGATGTGTACATCGGCGGAAAGGAGCACGCCGTCATGCACTTGTACTACGCCCGTTTCTTCTGTCACTTCTGCCAGGACCAGGATTTGGTGACTCACAGGTAGAGACCAGCTCCATGTGTGTATTTACTAAAACTTGATGCAGACAGTTTATGCATCTCTGATTACTATTGATGTGTTTCAGGGAACCTTTTCGAAAGCTGCTGGTCCAGGGTCTGATCAAGGGCCAGACTTTCAGACTGGCTGAAGGTGGCCAGTACCTAAAGAGAGAGGAGGTAGACCTTACAGGTACTTTCCTACCAGTTTCTTTCCTAATATTATTATAGAAAAAATGAGTTTGTGACATGGAATCTCTTACATGAAGTTGTTGAAATATGCTTATAAACCAAACGTGTAACTAAATGTATGATATAAATGTGCTCCTTGTGAGCGCTGACTCTGATGCCTAAAGGGAGAGAGCCTGTAGCACTGAGCGGCGGTCGTGTTGACGTGACGTGGGAGAAGATGAGCAAGTCCAAACACAACGGTCTGGACCCCCGAGAGGTGGTGGAGCAGTACGGCATCGACACAGCTCGTCTCTTCATACTTTACGCAGCGCCTCCTGATCAGGACATTCTCTGGGATGTCAAGAGTGAGTCGAGCTCCTGTTGCAGATTTTGGTTTATTTTAAAATTGTGTTTCATGAATCAGATTTTTTTAGATTTCTTAGATTCTCTTCTTTGTTTGCATTTTATCGATCACATTAGCGGATGCTATTCCTGGCGTTCTGCGATGGCAGTCTCGAGTGTGGCAGCTGGTGACCAAGCTCAGGGGAGCTCGGCAGATCGGTGAAGCCCCCAACCCATCCCTGCTGAAGAAGAAGGAGCTGGCAGAGAGCAGGAAGATCTGGCAGAACAAGAACTATGCTATTCAAGAGGTGATGACTTTAGACCAACTTCAAACCAAGAAATTGATATCAGGGGTCGACAACGACCTTTAACTAGGGATGTCCGATATTAACTTTTTGCCCACATCTGATATACGATATTGTCCAATCACTTAACTCCCAATTCCGATGTCAACCGATACCGATATAGGCCTGGAAATATTTATTTATTTATTTGTACAAACCACTGTATATGAAATTAATTAAATGAGCTGCAATGCTGCCATCTTGTGACTTTCACTTTAATATACAGCTGTTTGTCCCCAAATTGGTTTTAGGGCACACATCATTTAGCAAATGATGTGTTATCGGGTTTTCAGTAGGAAAAACTGATAACTATTGTTACAGATATTACATAATATGCTAATATCTGCCGATAATATCAGTTGGCCAATATTGTCGGACATCCCTACCTTTAATCCTCAATAAATACAATTTAATTAAAAACATTTTCACCTAAATAAACTCCATTCAAGGTTTCAACCTTTGACAGCAGATCAGATTTCTGCTCCAATGAGAGTTTTTTTTCAAACTTTTTATCACCATCCAGTTGTTCATATAGTGTGAGTTCAGAGGGTGGAAGAAACTCAGTCAACTGTTTCACTCATGGCCTCAAAATGGCCGGAGCCAGCGCTGGCTGAGAGGCAGAATTTCAGACAACAAGCTCATCGATAAACTCGCACATCATTCACACAGTGTGTCAGCACGAGGCGTTCCAGTCGGCGCTCTACGTCCACCGTCACCTGACATCTGCACAGTAAAGAGTGGAAGAGGAGGATGCTGGGAATTGATCTTAAATCCACACTGCCTTTACACTTTATAAATAGCCTCTGTTGGAGGTCAGCTTTGATTCTCTCTCTCCTCTCTCTCTCTCTCTCTCTCTCTCTCTCTCTCCTCTTTCTCTCTCTCTCTCACTTGCCCCCCCGAGCCGGTGTTTTTATAGAAACCTGGGGCTGTTTGCCATGAGCTCAAAAGCCAAGGTTGTCTTTTGATGTGTCCATCAGAAATGCCTCAGTGATCGACCCCCCCCCCCCTCAGGACCCCCTCCAATGGCTTTTTCTACCCATGAGGCTAAGCAGCAGAAGACTGACATGTTGTGTGCTCCATACTGTACAGTGGTGATAACAGAGAGGAGCTCTTTGTTTTCAAATCATGCTTTAAACCGACTCCATTATGAACATCCACATCTGGAAATATTTACTAGTGTTTTCTTCTTTTTTTTTTAAATTAACAACGTTTTTTTTCCTGTTTTGTTTTCTTGTGTAGGTGACGTCACACCTCACAGAGGATTTCCATTTTAACACGGCCATTTCTCGACTGATGGGACTGACCAACTCCCTCAGTGTGAGTCTGTCTGCTGTTCAAATGATAAAGAAAAACAAAAAACTTTGCATATTGACTTAAATTCCATTTTCCCCTCGTGTGTCTGTGTGTTAGAGTGCATCAGTCAGGGTCGCACAGCACAGTGTGGAGTTTGAGGAGGCGCTGGCCTCACTAGTGTTGATGATCGCACCCATGGCTCCTCACCTGGCTTCAGAACTTTGGGCAGGTCTGGACAATTTTAACAACATGTGGAGCTGTTTGAGTTTTCCTACTTTTCTTTTTTGGCAAAATGGAAATTTTGTCTTTTCCATCACCATTACTGCTATGTATTTGCAAATTTTTGGCTATTTCTGTTAGGCTCTGGACAGCGCCTCCTTTTTTTTTACTCTTTGTATTTGTATCCTTGCGCGGGCTAACTTTAGGCTGTAAAGCCATTTTTATTGTCCTGTTAGCTAGATTTGAATTTATTCTTAGCTAGTGCTTGCCTAGCTTCATACTGCCATTTTTAACCTTGGGGTCACGACCTTACGTGGAGTCATCTCGAATTCAAATGGGGTCACCTGAAATTTCTATTAATTGATCAAAAATACTGAACATTTTTATTATTCTATTATTTAAAAACAGTATAACAAACATATCCAAAAAGTAATTCTAAAAAAAAATGTCTCTGAGGTCACCAGAAATGTATGATGTCAAAATGGGCTCACAAGCCAAAAAATGGTTGGGAACCACTGGTTTATACTATACTATATATAACTTGTGTCTCTGCACTGGTGTGGTGTGGACTTATTTTCAGTGACACGTGTGATCCAACTCTGCACTAATGCCTACTTTCCAGTTGATCGTCGTAGAGGAAAATGTGACACAGTGAGGATATGGGAGGAGATCTGCTGTTTATGGAGCACAACCACACACACACACACACGTTCCCATGTGTGTGTGTTTTACCAAGTGGTTTGTGTGCATTTGGGTTGAACCCCGTATGTCAGTTTAAACCTGCCTGATAAACAGGAAGTACTGTTGAGGGACATGTGACCTCTGCTGCACTCAGTCACATTGAACTTCTCCAAACTCTCACTCTTTTGTTTGTAATTTTACACACACGCAGCACAGGATGGAGGAAGTTCACATCCTTCCCTTGCGTCTCCAGTGGGATGCACACTTATGGGTTTTTGTGAGAGGTTAGGGCAAGGGTTGCTGGGATTGCGGGGCTGCGTTTTGACCTTTCTGTGGAAGAATGTGTCACGTTGTGAAGTAAGATAAAATTTATAAAAAGCAACGGGAAGGATGAAATAAAGCAGTGGTTCTCTACCCTCTACAGCTGCGCCGCCCTTTCGTACATGACTTCGTACAACGCCACTGAACCACAATTAAAACACTGTTATTCTTACCAAACATATATTGGCCCTCAGTGCAGTTTCTCCACTGTGGCACATGTAAATAAACCCTTAAAATCAAAGTCAGTGTATTGACATCAATACAACTCTTGGTGACCCCCCTGCTTAAGCTGCGTGCCTTCCAAAGGGGACCCGCCTCCCACGTTGGAAAGCACTGATTTAAAGCAACTGTTTGCTCCTCTTCCTCAGATCTCCTTCTGTGTCTCTGTTTCCTCCTCAGGTCTTTGCAGAGTAGAAAACCTCCTCAGCCCAGTGCTCCAGTGTGGAGGAGACGTGCTGCAACAGTCCTGGCCCACTGTGGACCCCGAGTACTTGGAGGTTCCTGACTTTCTGGAGCTGTCTGTACTGGTACAAACATTTCGTAGCTTTGGATGTAATTGTAATGTGGTCACTGGCGCTGTTTATATCCCGCGTTCAAAGGCTTTATTAATATACCAACACCTTTGTTCTCTTGTCCACTGGCTTTTTCACTCAAACTCTCCGCTCTCGGTTCCATGATTGGAGTCAAAGCCTGTCATTTTCAGGAGAGTCTGTGATTATTGTGCACTCACGCTTGTGTGTGTGCGTGTGTCATAAGCTGCAATTGGGGACAAATTTGAGACTAACATCACGATGTTTGGGGATGGTGTGTTTAAGCGGGGACTGAAACTGTATCCCTTTTAAGGATCAAGCAGAAGTTTTGGGTCAGAGTTGGGGCGGGTCTCCAGGAAATGAATAATTGTGTGCAGTATAGTCGTCAAGTATGTTTACATGTGTGTCACTGCAGGCACAAAACCTCAGGATTGTGTGAGTAGTTTATGCTTTTGAAGGATCAGACCATAGTTTACATCAGTGGTCCCCAAAGAGGGGGTCGGGTCCTCGCTTGGGACCATGGAGCTGTTCTGTGGGGACACAATTTTAATTTTAATTTTCTCTTTGTGTATTCCACCGTGAGTTGATGACGTGTGTTTGTGCTCACGCCTACATCAGTACCAGAGTGATCTTGAGTGATTTAAAAAAAAAAATTGAATTCAGAGTAATTGTTGACCTTTGGCATCACAGCTGTGTCGTATTGTCTGTGATTTACTCGACCGGCTTAAACAAATCGAATTCAGAGTAATTATTGACCTTTGGCTTCACAGCTGTGTCGTATCGTCTGTGATTTACTCGACCGGCTTAAACCGCCTGTCATGTGAATGTGAAGTGAAAAACAAAAATGACTCCATTGCCTTTTTCAGTTGATTGGTTTTTATCCTGTTTGTGTTATGATGTCGTTCTTGTGGCCACTTCTCCCTTCACATAAAATACATTGGGGTTGAACTGCCGTCAGTCCATGGTGATGCCGCGGTGCTTTTTAGTTCATCCCGACCTTGTTCTCTGTTGTGGGTTTCCTCTGCCATGTGGAGGCAAACTTACTCTGCCTCTCCTGTAATCATGTGCTTGGGTTTGTCCAGACTGGGGCCGAGTAATCGAGGACACACACACACATACACACATACACATATTTTCAGCCGCCAGCTGCTAGATGTCATTTCCAAAATTTCTTTTCAGCCGCCTGCTGCTAGATGTCATTTCCAAAATTTCTAAATTACATTTATTTTAAGTAAAGTAAAACATTTTTTCATATTTAATAATTAAGTGATTTTGACCAGGTTTGTTCTTTTTTTGTATATCCTCTTCCTGCCCTGTTGCACTTCTTGGTCATCTTCCTGCTCTGTAGAAAAGGAAATAGTGTGGTTTGGTTTTTTTTTTTTCTTTTCTATAATTAATGTGTCGTGTCAATGCATTTTCTTCCTTTCGAGCATGAATTAGCAATAAATAAATAAATAAATGAGCAAGAATTGAAGGAAGTTCAGCCTTCAGGAACCAATAAAGGCAACCTTAACGTGAGCTTCCTGAGAGAAACCCTTAATTATGATAACGACCTAATGAAGTGTCTTATGATATTAAAAAGTGAGTGAGAACTTGATTTAGTTTCTCATAAACTGCCTTGTGACTGGAGTTCATTTCCAAATTAGTGGAGCTGAAGTATAATAAGTAGCAGAAATTTCACTGTTTTCGTCACATCTGTTTTTTATTTCCCCCCTAGATCAACAATAAAGTCTGTGGGAAGGTGACGGTGTCGCTGCAGGAGTCCACAGACCCAGAGAAGGTGGAGAAGCTGGTCCTGGAGAGCCCACTTGGACAGGAACTTCTCAGAGAACGCAGCATCAAGAGAGTGATCCTCTCGTCCAGGACCGCCCTCATTAACTTCCTCGTTGATCAGTGACGCTTGGGCCTTAACTAGTGATTCTAGTAGATAGTTGGAGTTTTTACTGGTTCAGAGATGAACTGTAAAATCTTAGCTGTAAATATGTCATTAAAACATTTATTTATATTTTCAGGTTTTTATTAAAAAACAAAGAGAATTGGGGGAAAGTTGGTTTCTTCATTTTTATTTAACTTTTACGTATAATGTCACTACCAATAGATTTTTTTTTTTGCCTCTCTCTTTTTTTAATCTCCGTCAGTTGGAGCACCTCTTCAGATTCCCGCCACCCTTCACATTCCTCTTCATTTTCACCACTCCAGCCGCGACTTCACACCTCCGCCTTATGTGCCGGTCGGCTCTGTATTCCAGCTGAGTCACACACTTGTGATCTGCCTTATCAGTACCACATTTTAGCCTTAGCGCTCCATACAAGGAGCGTTGATTAGTTCCTGAGACCATGTGACCGTGTAAAGATCAGTGGGAGATTTTCCTCAAATCAAACCACCACCTGGTGGACGACTGTTGCTGCGCTGTGTGCTTGTGTGTCAGTGAGATCAGTCAGCCGACGTGACGCTGTCTGAGCCCTCAGCGGTGAAATGCATCCACGTGTGCCCACCACCCTCTCCCCCCTCAGGCTTATCTCTGTGGTTATGTGGTGTGTGATACTTACAGGCACTTGTCTTTCATGACCTGTAGTGTCTTTGTCTTCACTCTATTCAAGTTTCAGAAGCATCGTAAAAAGTCGTCTCCTACTTTGTCTGGTATCTGTGTGTGAATGAACCAGCAGAAATATGAGCCTTTTGATCTCCCTGGGAGATGTGACGGTGTTGTCCAGCTTATGTTGGAGGAAGTTCTAATATTCTATGGTCTTGTATAGAGACTGATACAATCTGAACTTTTTTCGTTTTTTGTTTAAAAGCTTATTTTCCAGGTTGAGTCTCCTACGCATGAATGAAAATAAGCTGTTGTAGACGTGAAAGAAAAGGTTGTTTATGTTCACAAAGAAATACAGGAGGTGAAGATGTGCAGTAATTAGAAAGTCTACAGGTGAAGTGGAGCTACAGAAGATAGAATGAACTCGGTGAAACTGCAGAATTACAAAACGACATTGAAGAGTCACAAACATTCCTGCATAGCAATGGACTGAGTTTGAAGATGAAGAAAAAAAACCCAAAAAACTTCTACTGAATAAACACTTTTCAAGCTTGACTAATTCAGGCCAAAGTAAAAAGAAAAAAAACACTTTCAACTTATTCCACAGCAGTAGGTTAATCAGGGTTTGCAACAGATTTTTATGGCGGAGGTCTTTGTGGAAGTCCTTGTTTCTACCAGGGCTGGGAATTGGGTCGGGCAAATGATGCAGACTGGAATAAATATTTTTCTTCTGTCTTTGCTCTGATGTGGGACTAAGATTGAGTTTCTTTAAAAATTAGATTTAAATAAAAAATTGAATTGCAAAAAATTGCAAAAAAATCTGGCGCAGGCTTAAAACCTGAAAAAAGAAAATGTAACGCTGCTCAGACCTTGATATTTTTCTGTTTTGTAAAATTAAATTTTGTTTTGTGAAGTGAGAGACTGTAACAGCTGGCCTATTCAGAAATGTTTGAAAATTCCGTGCTCTGTACAAAATACTTGTGTGAGAAAATCTCAGGCATATTTATAATTGTTTTCTTAGCTTCAGGTAAATAATGACAATATTTATTTTAATTATTTTAATGTTGTTGTTCACTGATCCCTGTAACCTTTAGCTGTATTTTTAGCTTCTACTTCACACCATCAGTCGACAGGAAATCTCACAGAAAAACAGGAAGAGAAACCAAAAATAAGAGAAGCGTTGCAGATTTTTCTCATCCCTTGGTCCAACTCAGTGAGTTTAATCTGGGCCGCAGGCTTTCACAGCAAAAACAAAGTGATACTGTCCTTGACCCTCCTCGTCCTTGTCTCTGCCTTTTTTTCTCTCTCTCACTGCAGCTGTCAGTTTTCAGTTACTTTCATTTTCATGTCAGATTTCTAAAACTAGGTATTTTTGTCTTTGTGTGTTGTTTATGCAGCTTTTTCACACCTGCATTTTTACTTCTACTGCTGCTTCTAAATGTCATGTAGACACTAGCCTGAACCTAACCTGGCCTAAACAATAAGCTAGGCTTCTGTTAGATTTATATATATATATATATATTCTCTCTCTCTCTCTCTTTTTAATTTGGTTGCCAACAGCTCAATCATTCAACACTTTCTGTCAGCTCTGCAGTTTCCATAGTGACAAGAATGGTTAAATAGGTGACAGTATTCTATGGTGACTTACTACAGTAACTCTTCAGACCACAGTCTGTATCTCGCTCACAGTGATCGGACTATGAGAAAATTCCTCTTCTTTCTCTGGAGACGTTGCTAAATGAGAGTTAAAATGATGAAACGTACCGAACAGTATCCAACACTGACACACGTGATTTTGTCATTCTTCTCACCACAGCTATATTTAATATTAGTACACACTTTACACAACACACTCCCATTTGGCTAATTGTTGTTGCACTGTTCTCACAGTTGCATTGTCTTGGGTTTTGCAACAACCAATAAAAAACAGACCTTTACCACAGTGAATATCTATTTATACGTAATTATTTTAAAACATCATCATTTTTGATTATGAACTGGTTGACCAAATCTCCGCCCCACTCCTCCGCTTCATTCACTTGTTATTGGTGACACATATTTAACGTAACCTCAAATTACAAAACACTGACTACAAAACATACAAACAACAGTGTTGAAATCCTGCCTTGTTGTTCACAGCTCTGAATCAAATCTCAACAAGACTAAAATAACTCATTAAACTTAAGTTATTTTGGTTACTCTAACCAAATGTATGGAGGAACACCTGTTAACCATTTCTGAACACAGCCGTCTGATTTCTGGAAATATTTTCATTTTATAACCAGATTTATTAGTTTTAAAAATGCAATAATATAAGAAGGAGAATCAGCTTTGGGGAAACTTCCTGTTTGTAAGTCAGCAGTTTGGAGGAACACCCAACCTGAACTAACACACCACGCGGATTAATATTTTCACACCAACAAAAAACATGTGTAATACAAGCCCCCTGTTGGACACATATAAAACTACATTTGTGTTTTTTTTTTACTGGTGGCTACAGTCTATTTGACCATTGATTAGATGTTATTTTTCATTTTTTTACCTCAGCTGAAGCGCTACAGTCTGGTCAGGATACAGTGGAGAGGGTCAGGGTTTGTGTATGTTTTCCATCGGCGGGAATGTGTGATGTCATTCAACCAAAAACCACAAGTCAGACACACCCATACACTGCAGTTATAATAAAGCTCTACATGGCTTGGTTCTACTGTATAGAATGTTTACGAGGTGGTGCCACTTCTAAAAGTCTCCCCCCTCAGTGACAAAACTGGAGCGACATAAAACAACCAGTGAACATTTGAGCAGGATTTTGTGTGGTTTCCCACACAAATGACAACATAATTATCCTTCACCTATTTACTTGACCTTCTGTCTTCTATTACCAGGAGTGAAGTAGAGTAAAATGTGTCTTTGATTTTATTCAATTAAAGAGTGTTAGAAAAGATGGTGATATTTTACTTTATGTGATATGTTAAAAGTGAAAAACACTGGCCTAAAATAGTGTGGAGGAGTAGAACAAGGTGATGTGAAGCAACATAATATCAAACTTTAGTACGTTCACTGTTTGTTTGATTGATTTAGTTTGATATATTAGTTTTGTCCAGTGAAGCCCATGTTGCCCAACGTTTTGCAAACAGCCCCGTTTTGACATATGTACACTAACCAACGTGCAAGCACCCTGCTAATGTTGCATAGTATTTGCAATTGTATTCTGAGCATTTAAAAATTGAAAGAGCTCAGCCTAAAAATATGTTCATTCCTCACTCAGACATGTTTCAGGAGCTGCTTTTTCACACTTAATATAAAACGTTTTGACATTTACAATTAAAAATAATATTATACTAGTGTGTGTAATCCATGCCCTAAGCCATTAAAATGACGATGGGAGCTAAACTGTCTGTTGAAAAACACTAACATAACAGCAAAAGATGAAACATTCTTTTCTTCTTGCCCTTTCAGAAAATTTCTTGGCCCACAATTAGATTGCAACCCAGTGTTTGGTAATTACAGGTACAGTATGGAGTTCCTCAAGCTCATATGCCAAGTTCTGGAATACATTTATTTATTTGTTTGTTCTGTCCGTTAACCTGAGATGTTCCCTTTACTGTGGTAGTACAGCAGGTGGGGAGAAGTGAGTCAACTTGTTTTGATATTTTTAAACATGACTCAGGATGAAGGGCCTACTCTTCCTCTGTTGGAGCGGATGAATATCTGCCTCCGGATTCCTCTATTTTAAACCGAGCTGTTTTTTTAAACGCCACTGTGGATGAATAAGCTCATGTTGATGCTCTCGTCTGTTCCTAACTCCACTCGGATTTATTTCTGAGTGCTGCGCCTTTAACAACAAACTTGTCCCTGCTCTCAGTCCCGTCTGTTGGAACACCGGCGGCGGCCACGTACTGTCCACTGGCTCTGACACTTCTTCTACTGCCCCGCGTTCTGGTCTTCATGTCGGACTACTTTTTCTCTGTTTAATGCCTGTACCTGAGGGTTAACATGCCGTTTGAACTACTTTTAAAAGAAGTAGGAGACGGAGAGTGTGTTTGCATGGCTTGTGAATGAAGGTTTTCCACAGGGAGTAGCAGTAGGAGGAGGAGGAGGAGGCGGTGGAGGAGGAGGAGCAGCGGGCAGTTTGAGGGGTCGCCCCGGTTATCGGATCCGGAATCTGCTCACATTTATAACCAGACAGACGGAGGCTTGTTCGGGTGGAGTAGATCTGGACGGCGCAGACTTTAACGAAGGAATATTCAACTTTTTTTTTTATTCACCCGGACCATTTAAGTGACGGAACAGTTGGAAAAGTTCCTTTCATTTAAAAACTACCGGACTGGAACTCACTCTGGAAGTTACTTTACTGACTGTTGTGATTTACGTGGACTTTATCCTTTCTGTATAATTGCTTTTAAAATTAGATCCATTGTTACAAGCGGACTCCAGAATGGATAAATACGAGGATTTAGGACTGGAGGCGAGTAAATTCATCGAGGACCTGAATATGTATGAGGCATCCCGGGATGGTTTGTTTCGCATGAGGAGGGATGCGGGAAATAACCCTGACTTTGAGGAGACGCGGCGAGTTTTTGCCTCTAAAATGACAAAAATTCATATGCAGAAGCAGCAAGAGGAGATAGCAAAAAACAACCAGGCCATTAGAATGAACGGGGGTCACAACAGTAGCGGATATTACACCAAAGACCGGCCGCCCATCAACAGTTACAGACAGCCGGCTGAAGCGGCGGCGAAGCCCCCGTTACTCTCCGCTCCAGTGTCGGGCACTACGGGCGGGAGTCAGTACGCGCCGTTTGACGTCCAAAAACATCACTCAGCCAGTCAGCCTGAATCACCAACAGGCAGAATGTTTGGCTACGGAAACAATTACGACAATAAGGAACCCCATTCATATCAGCACGGCAGCTCCACTCCCCCCAGCAGCCCAGGAAAAGCACCCAACAGCGCGCCCACACATGCGCGTCACCCCGTCAGCCAACAGCCGGCCTGGGCCCCGTCCAGAGAGAACCAGTTTTCTTCGTCCAAGCCTGGGTCAGAGGGCAGTAACATATCTCATCACCAGCCACAGCACCTTCCTGCACCCCCCGCTGTCAACAGTCTACCACCCCAGCAGAGTCAGGCTGTGTCCAACCAGAGCCCACCTTCTTCTGTCAGAGGTTGGACTTCAGATGGTTCTGGAACTGTCAAACCAGAGTTAATTCCAACTCTGCCATTGAGTGCTTTCACAGGAGGAGCAGATTTCTCTGTGCAGCAGCAGAAGCAACATCAGGGCAACTCCACACAGCCCACCACCCATTATGCGTCGAGCTCTCCACCATCTACCACCCGCCACAATGGTCCTACGTCAGTTTCCTCTGTCCATCCAGCACCACCTGAAACCACCCAGGTTAAAACCCAGCTTCCCTCTGTGGAGTCTGTCCATCACTTTGTCCCTAGAAGCATAAACCAGGGTCAAGGTCAGAGACAAACCCCTATTGTTGGGCAGGCTGTCCATGCCGAACCTGAAGTCCAGTGTCCCCCCAAATCTGCCCAGCTGC